ATTCCTCCCCAGCAAGCTGGGTGATGGCAGAAATAGCAGTAAATGACTTTGTGTCAACAAGGGGGTACTGGGGAAGGAGGAAAAGAATTTGTTACCTTCATGCACACACCATGCAATAATTTATTCAAGTGTCAGGAGCAAGCCTTTCAGGTGAAAACAAGCTGACTCAGAACTCCCTGATTATTGAAAATGAGTCCTTAATAGAAGTAAATGGCCAAGAACTAAATTTCCTCGCTGTGTTCTCCATTCAAAATTAATTGGAAAGTGGCTGATTTGAGAATATTATATCCTCTAGTGAACTGAAAATGCTGCCTTTTTTTTTTTTTTTTCCTCTGAAACCAAGAGTGGAGAATTAAATTAACTCTGAGGTTTGTTTGCTCAGAGTAGGCCACCAAACTGGATTAATTAATCATCATTTATGAACACTCTATAACCCAAAGCAGTCAGAAAACTGCTAAGATAGCAACATGACAGTAGAACTGTTATAAAAACAAATGATAAATTTCCTGCATCTCCAACCTATAGCAACTTGCCAGGCATTTCTTCACAGTTAAAAAGAAAATATCCTGGTGAACAGTCTTACTTAGTGTCTATAGCAGTGCTCAGAATAAATAGAATTATTTACTTGTTCTGTACTTGGTGTGCTGTGCAGGGTCCTGGGCATCCCCAGTTCCATAGGGAATGCCAGGACTGTGTTTTCTTCCTCCACCTGGAGATTACAGAGTGTCATGTCAAGGATAAAAGACATAATTCTAACTGTGCTTGGAATGATGGGATGAAGCAGATCTTAATTTACCACATCTCTAAGGAGAAATGGCAGAGAAATGGTCATTTATGGGCACTTATCCAAATTCATCATCATTTGGTCTTTTTACCTGCATGCCCCTTGACCTCTACAGCTCTGCTTCATGTACAGCTTGACCTAAACCAACAGCACCCAAACACCACTGCAGTCTGCTTGATTTCCTTAATTTGAACTTGGGTTTGTTCTTAAGTCTGAACTGAATAGATTTATTCCTTTTTTTAAGAGAGAGTTTATAGGCTAAGGAAGTCTTTTCAGTGAGAAAACACAGATGGCAAGAAAGCAAATTCCTGTATCATGAATTTCACTAGAAAATGGAAATAACAAGAGAATTGAATTGCTGTAGACTTCTGCAAAGGCTTCCTGGGGCCCACAGATGTGAGTGGCAGCAGCTCATTTGGGCAGAATTCATTCAGCTTTGGCCACAATTAGCTGTGCTGCTGATCACTTACACAAGTGTGACAAATGAACAGCCATAAAACACCCACTCAGATTTTCTACCCTCATGCAGCTAACGCACCAATTGCACAAATTCATTAGAACTAGCAGTTATTTTTTTTACAGCCTCTGAGAGAAAAAAGAAACCCTAAAAAGCCCCAATATTTTCTACTTGCAGGCTTTGAAAAAAAAAAAAAAGATATTTAACTAATACAGATATTTAACTATATATTTAACTAATATTTAACTAATGGATTAGAACCTCCCAACCACTTTTTTTCATCCAGGACCCCATGCACCTTGGGGTGTCAAAAACCTGGGGAGCAGGGGCAGTGTTGGAATGTGCTCAGCATTTAGCCATTATTTTAGAAGCAAAATTTGGAGAAATAACAGAAAAAAAATTAAATATCAAACCTAGCAACTGTATTCTCAGAAGGAAAGCAACAAGGCACAGGATTGTTCTGTCAGTTCTAAGGAATTCATTTAGTCCTGCCAACTAAACAATAGAAAAGTAGAAAGCGTTCCTGGGTAAATGAGAAACAATTTTGCTCTTCCAATAGGGAATTTTAAAACAACATGGAGGCTCTACAGCATTTGTATAGCTGTCCCAAGGCCACTTCCCATCACTGATGGACAGCAGCTTCCACTCCCATCCTGGGAGCACTCGAGGTGGAGAGCAGACACAATAATAAATATGAGCACAGGAAATAAAATGCCATTCAATGGTTTTATTGAATGGTTTTGTTTCCCCTTCAATCAAAGACAAAAATGCTTCTGTCCAAACACTGACTTTGTTGCTTTCTTTAGAGATATTATATTTGGAAAATATTTGATTATCCTGTCAAGAACATTAAAGTATAAACAGATGTGCAGAGTGGAAAGAGAGCAAAAGTTTAAAAAAAAGACAGCATGATTTTCAGGCATAGAAATGATTTTGCTTCAGCAGCAGAAGGGTCATGAATATGAATAGTGCTGAATTCTAGAGAAGCCATTTGTCATTATTAAAATTAGTGCTTTGTCAACACAAAAATCTCCCCCCCAGTCGCACAAAGAGCCACATTACGGGATTCCATTTTCCTCTCAGAACAGCGGAATTCCCACACCCAACTCCGCCTCCTGGGCTTTCCAGCAATGGGCCAAGCAGCAGGAGGAAAGGACCTAAAGGGAGCATTGATCCTATTTAATTATGGAATGGCTGAGAGGATGAGGTGGAACACATTTATACCTAAGTTTGCTAATGGATTTTTTCATTCCAAGTGCTTGATCAATGGCTAGGGAGAGTTGCAGATATCAAGAGAAAGGAATCAGCCAATATTTTATTCCCAACACGGGATTACCATCCTTGAGATTGTGTGGCACTTCAGCTGTGCCCTCCAGAGCCAAGTGGCTAATCTTTGTCCAAAGAGAAGTGCTTTTAGCTAAAGCTGTGCTAAGTTTGGCAGTTACAGAAGGAAAAAAGTTCTTTATTCTGCATTAATAGGGCTGAGCAGCCAGAGCAAGCACACAAACTGAGTACAGAATGCAGTTTCAAGGCACTGGTTTATATTCAAATCATTCTTTTAAAATGCCCTTTGTTTCTTCTCTACTAGCTACTGTAGCTTTCACTTTCAATATACCACAAGCCTGCATCTACAAATATTCCATAGAGAGAAAACACTCTATATCTGAATTCTAGTGGTAAGTGATGTGAAATAGCCCTAGAAACAATACCACAAAGTGAAATGGTGTGATGGTCCTGCCATTAGTTTGCAAACAATCTGATATCATCCATGCTCTAAACACAAACAGTTAAAACCCAGCACCTTTCATCCCCAGTGATGTGGAGGTAGATGGGAAAGAATTAAATCCCATTTTACTCCATGAATAATGCATCACATCTGGGCCTTTTTCAACTTCCAAAAGGACCAACAGAGCAAAAGAAGTCAAAAGAGATATCCAAGATCTTTTGACTCCATGAAAAGTGATTAACTGGATCTTTTAAATTGGTTTGCACCATAATGAAACTCCTGGAATAAGCTAATACTCATCTCCTACAAGTACATTTTAGCATTAAAAACAATCTCATCCATTTTCAAGTGTAAACAAAACACAAAGAGCACAGAGACTTGCTTCCATACTTCCTTTGGTGCACTAACATTAAATGCCATTGGCAGACCCTTTAGCACTCATCAAACACTCCAGAGACAAGGTGATATTCTCCAGCAACATTTCCTACTAGTCATTTTCTTTTCATCACTTTAAAACAGTTTGCAGGAAGAACTTTTCACATTTGCAGGAGTCGAACCAGCAAGGATCTGTTTGTGTTGGCTAGGGTTTATTTTGTGAGGAGGGGATGGTTTATTACTTGTCTTGTAGTTTCTGGGGTAGTACATAGAGGCATGCACCAAGTTCAGGGTAATTTTAAGATTCACTCTGTTTATGTCAAATACTTGGGGTCATAAAACACACAGGCACTGGAATCCACCAAATCAATCCATCAATCCACAAGAAAAAAACAACTTGCACAGTTTCCAATCTCTGCTTAGCCAAGGCCCAGAGCAGAAGAGAAGAGAAGAATAAATTACCTTTTGTGGCACCAAGTGTGCAGAATGCAAGCCCACTGCAGAAGGGCCACGAGGGACACTTCCTCCTAAGCTCCATCTGTCTCCCCTTCGGAGGAGTACTAAAAGCCTTGTTAATAATTTAACCAACTAATGGACACATTTTCAAGCACTGGGAGCTGGTGGGTAAAGAGGCACCACCTTGGCACAGCAAAAGGGTGAGAATGGGAAGCTGGTGGCTTCTTACCCCTGATGTGCTAGGGACAAGCCTAGGACAACAGAGCAGGAACCTAGCAGAGGGAAAGCTTTCTCTTCAGCTGGATCACTGCTAAAAACCTTCCTGAGACACACACAGAGGTATTTTAGAGCATATCTGACCCCACACCCCAGGCCACAAAGGAGCGCTGTGTAAACACTGTCCCCCACACCTGGGTTGTGCCAGGTGACACTGAAACTACATCCAGCAGCCCTCCAGCACATCAATTCAATTCATTTTGAATTAAAAACCTCAAAATTCACTGACCTTAATGTGACTCCTGCAGCAGCTCTCAAAGAAGAAAGGTTCAGATGCTCTCCTACCACCTCTTCCCTACTCTCTTGCACATGACTTTATAAACTCCTCCCAATTCCTAATCAGCTGAATCGAGGCTCACCTGAACACAATTATCTCTCTGCAAAGCAAACCTTTTACCTGGGAACCAGGTGTCCTCACTGTTGATAGCTAATTTCTTCAGTCCCCCAAATCTGCCTGCAGCTGTAATCAAATTTCACTGTCAGTCCATCCCATCTCAGGCCACTGCACTGACTAAAACAGCCAAGTGACAACATTCAGTTTGGTGCCATCTTCATAAAGTAAATAATGACAATCTACAGGTAAAACAGCCACAAAACTGAGTTCAATCACCTCGTGGAAAGAAAATGCTGCGAAGAACATTTGTCACATTGTTCTTATAAACTCTCTTTATCCCTCTGAAATAAATCATGAGATCTACAAGGCAGTGGCCACGTAAAGGCTGATAAAAAGACAGAAGTTATATCAGCTTTAAGGAGAAAATAAAGACAGAGATACTTAGCTGAGATACCATCCTTCACAAAGCCTGGGAGTGTTTCTGTGTCAGAATTTATTCCTCTACTTACAGCCATGCTATTCTAGGCACCGGGGGGAGACAGCATATTGGATTTTTGGTGTGCCATGCCTGAAAGGCTCCTCTTGCCCCCAGATCAGCATTTTCATGACCCACCTGTCCAACTATGGGAACGACCGCCTGGGCCTGTACACCTTTGCCAACCTTGCCAGCTTTATCAAGAGCTCCACAAACCTGAGGCTGCAGACGCTGCCCCCCGTGCAGCTGGCTCAGAAGTATTTCCAGCTCTTCCCCGAGCAGACAGACCCCCTCTGGCAGGTAAAGTCACCTCTTCTTCCTCCTCCAGCTGCAATCTGCTCATTGGAACAAGCATCTTTTACTCTAAAAAGCCTTTTTCAGGCGTGAATGTGAGCTCAACACTGTAATTCAATGGTTAGACATACCTGCCTCTTCTCTTCGCCAGAATACTGTGAGCCACACTGAGCTTTTGGCTATGCAGGCATAAATCCAGGAGGGCACCAAGGAAAATTGTGCAGTTATTTAGGGCTTACACTGGCAAAAAGGTGCAGAAAATTTGCCCTATTATTTTTGGCCCAGCTACAAAGGAAGTATAAATCTATAATATTTCCACTGGGCTGCAGCAATTCCCTTCAGCTGATGATTTTCTCCATTGTATTTTGTTACTTTTATTCACCAGCAAAGTGTATCCTCTGTTACCTATGCAAAAGCAGCATCTGTTTGATAACTGCTTTGAAGAGCAGCCAGTCCCAACCTCTTCTGCGGGGCCTTTTGTTCACAGGTTTTTATTTTGCATTCATAGGTAGTAGAAAGATAAGGAGATGAATATTATCCCACATTTCTATTTTGTCCTTCCCTTTTGCATTCTCACGTAAATTAAAATTGGCACTAAGCCCCATGCATCTGAAACCATTCTGACAGCTCAAAAAGTAATGCCTCAAAGATATTCAGAGGTTTCCATTTGAACCTCAAATGGAAACATGATTAAATCAATGTTTCAATGCTTTTTTTCCTCCCTCTTTTTCTTTTCTGCTGATGATTGAACCTTGTCCTCAGTCATTCAAAATCATTGTACACAGACTGTGGGATTTTGCTACTCAGTGTAGGGCTCTGGCATTAGTGCATAACACTGAGACCCTGCCAAGATTTGGGATCCCCCAGTGTGATGGCCACAACCACCTTTTGTCCTTCAGAACCCGTGTGACGACAAGCGACACAGGGATATTTGGTCCAGAGACAAAACTTGTGACCACCTGCCCAAATTCTTGGTGATAGGACCCCAGAAAACAGGTAAGAAGCACAAGGAGAGCTTTTAAAAAGTTTATACAAAGTCAAAGGTGCCGCTTTTATTTTTTATTTTTCCTAATGGCATCTCTTTTTGTTGTCATAGGAACAACAGCCCTTTATTTATTCCTTCTGATGCATCCTTCCATTATCAGCAATCTCCCCAGTCCAAAAACTTTTGAGGAAGTTCAATTCTTCAATGGCAACAACTACCACAAGGGAATTGACTGGTAAGAAGAATGACAAAAACGAGGTGTTCATTCTTAATACATGGAAAATCACAGTGGAACAATTCCAGGAGTGGGTGTGACACTGCCTCAATCACTGGATGAATTTGTTATGCTTGGAATGATCAGATAGAAAGAGAATCTAATTGGTAATGATGGGACATTTAATCAAGCCCCTAATGTTGTTTAGATATTATGGTAAGAATTTTCTGAGTTTTCACACAAATGCATGCAAGAGGCAGTTCTGCCATGAGTTCTGTCTTCATGCTGAATGACATCTCTGTCTTGTCGTAGCTGTAGCTGCACTGACTTACACTCTGTTCCTTCCAAAGTGGCTTTTCACGAACTACGGTTCCATTTATCTCTTCACGAGAATTCATCCAATCAATTTGAAATGGAAAAGACCATTCAAAGCCAAAATTCAAATCTTGCATTCTGAAAGCATCCAAAAGCAAAGATATGTCAGTTCCAAAATGAAGTACTTCAACAATGTTAAAATTAAACAGTTTGACATTTAAATGTTGACATTAAATGTTGACATTTTGAAGCTTTTCCCATGTTTTTTCTGCAGCTAAAACTGAACTCGCTCCAAATTGGTGAAAGATATCCCTTTGACACTGAAGTCATTAGCAAAAATCCCATCCATCACAGGAAAAACCTAATTACCAGACTTCATGAGGTCTTTAGCTATTACCAGCACCACCTAAGAGCCAAGATGCATTCCCATCACTCCAGTTTGGGCTGAGCTGAAAAATTCAATTTTGCTTCATGAGAATGATGTCTGAAAATTCACCTTCTCACCTGCCATGAAATGGGAAGCACGGGGCCATGGCCTTTTTGTTCTGCTGCTAATTCTGACGAGTCTCTTCCCCTCCAAGGTACATGGAATTCTTCCCCACTCCTTCCAACGTCACCACAGACCTCCTCTTTGAGAAAAGTGCCAACTATTTCCATTCTGAGGAAGCTCCCAGGAGAGCTGCTTCCCTCATCCCCAAGGCCAAGATCATCACCATCCTCATCGACCCGTCCGACCGCGCGTACTCCTGGTACCAGGTAGGGAATTCTTCGCCCCGAGGAACGCACAGTGGAGCCGGTGGCAGGGGATGAGGGCTGGCATCGCTGGGAATCCATGTCCTTGAGCAAGGAATGGGAGTTAAGGCACAGCCTTGGCACCCCGTGGGAGCAGGAGGGTGCTGGATGCCAGCTTCTGCAGCTGGCACCTGCGACACCGGTGTCAGGAATGATGAAACTTCCCAGCACAGAGCTGCCACCAGCTGGAAACAAACAGTTTAATCTCAATTACAGCTGACAGGGCAGAGAGGGAGAGCAGTGCTGCGAGCCCAGGGAGATGCACAGGGAATAGGAGCGTGGCCCAGCCAGGGAATCTGAGCTCTTGATGCTGAAGGTCTGGCCCCACTTCCCCCAGTGTGTGAGCTCAGCAATGTGTGGCGGTGCAGAGATGGACCCAGTGTCTCCTGAAGTTTCCAAGGAGGTAAAAAGAGCTGTGACCAGAGACAGTGGCTTTTTTCTCTTCTTAGAAACAACAAAAAAAGCCTGTTGTTTTCCCCAGGAAGCTCCAGGATGCTCTTCCTTGCCTTTTACTGAGCCCTCATCCTTCCATAACAAAATCTGCACTATTTAGAAATTCTATTTTTAGGGAAATTTACCATGAAATGAAAATGCATGCTTGTGAAAAATGGCATAGGCAAACACATAAAGGAAACACTAAATGCAGTGTTAAAACAGACTCAGATTAATAATGCCAGAACAGCAAGAACTACATCATTTCTGACCCTGCCAGGAAGCTCTGCAAGGAACAAAGCACGGCCAAGGGCTGGGTAATATTTCATTGGCACCTTCCCAGCTGCCAAGGCAAAGCGGTAAAACAGTGACTCCTCACTCCCAGGGGAGCCTGGGCTGAATGCTGTCCCCACCCTGCATCCTTGGCCCCCATCCCTCTCCTGCCTGGCAGAGGTGGGGAAGCTCCAACAAGATTTCAGGTTTCATCATCTCCAGTTGTGCCAGGTATTCCCGTATCTCCCCACAGCACCAGCGCTCCCACCAGGACCCCGCTGCGCTCAGGTTCAACTTCTACCAAGTGATCACCTGCGGGCCCTGGGCGCCGCCGCAGATCCGGGCGCTGCAGAGGCGCTGCCTGGCACCCGGCTGGTACGCGCTGCACATCCACAGGTGGCTCTCGCACTTCCCAGCCTCCCAGGTAAGGCCTGCCCAGCTCATCCAGCCTCACACCTCATGGGAAGAGTTTTCCAAAAGGACTTTCTAAATTCAGTTAGAAAATGCCGGGGTTTTTCCGAAAAAGAAATGTCATCCTGCTCCCCGCTCCGTCCCCATCACAGAAAGCTTCACGTGTCTTTGATGCTCATATGGAATTAGCCTTTCTCAGGGCTGCAGCAGAGATTCCTTCTTTCGGCCCCTCTTCCTTCAGACATTTTATTGAATTGTCTTTCATAACCTTTGCCATGAAAAATCTACCTATATGCATAGATCTAAAGAATATTTCCGCTGCTGAAGAAATAATAATAAAATAACCTAAAGCAAACATTTTAGTACTGCAAAGTACATGCATGGGCACTCTTTATGCAAGGACGTGGTCATATGGCAGTTCATGTCTGCACCTCCTGTAAGACAAGGCTGTAAAAGGCTGTTCCATGAGCGAGCAAACCAGCAAGGATCCCCAGAGATTGCTCTGGGTGGGACAGAATTTTGCTGAAAGGAGGCAGAGCTGAGCATTGCCTACTTTGTCAGGGAAAATAACAACCAAAAGAATTAGAAGCTCTGCCTTCTTGCAGAGATTTTTCTTTCTATACAGCCTCAGCTGTACGACAGAGAGGAGAAGCAGGTCAATCCCATTTGAAGGAGAAGGGAGAAAATGTCAGTCATTTACTTCCTTCTTTCCTCTCTGGCCTTCCTACTCTTTCATAATTGGGGAGGTAGTCCTGCCCAGAGATGCTGAGGTGGCAGCAAGGGCAGTATTGCCCTGGGAGCAAACAGAGCACATCTCCTCCTCGTCCACCTCATCCCAAATTATTCCTCCAAAGGAAACTTATTCCTCCTGGCAAACTCTGAGCATGGAGAGGGTGCTGAGCATCCTGTGCCCTGTTCCCTGGGCTCCTCCTCTGCCCTCACTTGGAGCTGCTGCCTTCTCTCCTCGAGATTTCCCACAGACACATCACAAACCTCAACAATATTTCACGTCCTTTCTTTATCTCTTCTTCTCAGAATTGTCCGAGTGTCAGGTTTGGCTTGGGAGGTTTAACTCCTGCATTTGAGCAAGGTGCACACACAGAGTTACAAGGTGCCCACCTATGCAAATCCAACTCAATGAAGTAAAAAGCAAACATAAAAGGGAGCTCATCCACATGAATGTTTTTAGCACTGTACAAAGTCACGTGCTAATTTAAATCCAGATTGTCACAGAAGTGAAATAATGCCATTTTTTGATTAACCATAGTCCTGTTTCTAAATCAGTGCCATATTTACCCCTGCAGTTGCTCATTATTGATGGACAGCAGCTGAGAAGTGACCCTGCTACTGTGATGGATGAAGTGCAGAAGTTTCTGGGAGTCTCTCCTCACTACAATTACTCTGAAGCCCTAACGTGAGTGTATTCCTTTTCTTATCTGCCCTGTGGGATTCCAGGGTACATCCCCTCCCACCAGGATCCCTTCATTATAAATTACAGACAACACATCAGGATAACAATAACTTTGAGAAGCTTGGAGCTCTCTTCCATCAGTCTCCAGGAGCTGAAGCCTGGAGTATCAGTGTGGAAAGTTTGGATTTATCATTGCAAAGGTGCCTGATGGCAGAGGCTGGGTTAGAAGCACTCATTCCCTAATCCCATTTTCCCCTCTGGATTTCCACGTACCACTGAGACCCCTGCAGGGGTGGGAGTGGGCTGAATTCCCCTCTCCCCTCTTAGTCCAGCAGAAAACTGTAAGAAGCTTTTGGATGGATATCCATGAGCTGGGAAGCCTGGCACTGCTTTTCCAAGCCCCTGAGCCAGCACATGGAGCTTTGCTGCTTCACCTTCCCTGCAGGCTGGTCCTGAGGGAAACACAACCACAGACTTTGCAGCTGCCCCACACTGCTCCTCTTTGCTTGCAATTACCATTTAATGTTTCCTCTCCTGGCAGGGTTCAGCTTATTTATATCCAAGGTTCAAAGTAAGACTTCAGTGCTTAAGGAAGTTGCTCTGCCAAAAGCTTTTTCTAGAGGAAGAATTTTGGATTTCAGAACGCAATTTTTTAAGTCACTGGTTTCCAAAGAGGATGGAGGGGAGGAGAAGTCTGATCACAGAGCTGAGCTATTGATGTTTGAACAACTCACAACTGCACATCTGCAGTGCCTTCTGCTGGGTTTTTAAAATCCACACCCACAGACATACATCTTCCATGCTGGAACTAAATTAAAGTCAGTGGAGTCGCACAGCAGAAAGAAATTTGGCCTTTCATACTGGTTTGGACAGGAAAAATGGATTGTAAACAGATCCATAAAATTATGCACTCCCTGTTTAGAGGCATCAGGAATGCAAATGTGCTGTGGAAGCACACACTTCTGCACAGATTTGGGATGGAAGGGGGAAATGCATTAAAATGTGTAGCTGCTTTCTGGCAGGGCTTGTCAAAGGGGAAAGGATTGCATAGGATTGTTCCTAGTCATTACTGCCTAACAACTGCACGCCGCACATTTTTAAAGGTGTCAGGAAGCAGCCTAAGGACCCAGACCTGTGAACAGCACTGAGCAACAAGTCCATCACCCTGAGTGAAATTGTGTGAAAGTCTTGCAGGAGAGTAAAATCAACCCAGGCAGAAGGGAGCCATGGGAGGGGAGCAGAGGGGACACGGAGGCAGGGCCTGAGGACGACACAAGATGAGAGGAGTGTGCTTAGGAAAATGTTCTCCCTTGGAGGGCTGCTACATTCTGTCAGAGAATGAAAGAAAGATCCTCACGGTGGCATTGCTTGGCTCTGCCCTCGCAGGCATTCCCTGCCTCTGGCATCAGGCACTGCTTTCCCAAAACCCTGCCTCTCCCCCAGGCTTACTCTGCAGGGAAGGGAGGATAACCAGGCCTCCAAAGATTTCTGCTGACAGCTCTAAAATGCTCCCCTGTAGCTTTAGCCTTAGGGCTATCACTATTTTTAAATACTTCCACTGTGCCCAATTACGTTTACAGAAGCCCTGAGAGTTCTGCGATTTCTGAACATAAAGGGTTGAATTCAGCCCAAACTGTCTCACCCTCTATTCCCCTTCCCAAATCTGCACATCCTTTTCATAATGTTCAATAAGCTCCTTCTGAGGCACGAAGATTGTTTGGGGCATAGTTTTGCAGTTTCCCTTTTACCCAGCACACGATACTGCTGCTCCTCTTGGGAAATTAATGCAGGGCAGCTAAAGCACTTCATCATGCACGGAGCAGATGGGAAAGGCCAAAGCAGAAATGAATCTATCATCAATATACCCATTTAATCAATGATTTATTTGTTTTTAATTGACACAGCTACAGAGACAATTTAGGAAACAAAGGTCAGGCTGCATTAATAGGCTGGGCAAGAGAAAGCCCATGAAGAAGGTTCACCCTTCCGCTGAAATTCCCCCACTTCTGTACGGTAGCAAATTGCAGGTGCGTCCGTGTCGTAGGGACAGAGCAGGGGCAGAAAGGTGGTGTGTAACTAATTAACTCTGTGTCCCAGCCAATTATCCTTCATCCTTCTCAAACATCTGCTGAGCAGCAGGAATGTGCAGCGTTTGGATGTTTTATGCCTGCTGCAAGTCCCACAGCAGTAAATTCCAAACCCAGCGCCGCGTGCCGTTCGTTCCTCGGCGAGTGCGAGTTTCCAAGCCTCAGCCTAAACCTCTTCTATCTCTGCATTTCAGACATCACAATCAAACTGCATGTTTCAGATAAGGCTGCTAAGACAGTGTTTATGCCATCCTAAGAATGAAAATGGCGTTTAGATGCAGTGATAGGGAGCAGCCAGCTTCTTCTTCAGGCAGGTTAAATCATCAGCATCCAGCCAGTGCTTCCTTAGGAGACCTGCACATCACCCTGCATGCTGGACAAGGACAGCAAAAATTAGCCAGTGCACATAGAGCACAGTGGGGAAAAAATCCTGCCTTTAGGCACTTCCAAGGCAGATTTGTGGGGAAAAATGAATCCCCAGAGTTTACACAGGAGAGGAAAGCTGTTTCCCGCTCTGGCCTCAGAATTCCAGTCATCTAGAGAGATGTGTGCAGCACTAATTGTGGGATAACATTGGTGTCTCAGTAGCCAGGAGACGTTTCTGTAGCAAGGCCTTTTAAAAGATATGGTCCTCTACAGGTTTGACCCTCAGAAAGGCTTCTGGTGCCAGTTACTGGAAGGAGGGAAAACAAAGTGCCTGGGGAAAAGCAAAGGTCGGAAATACCCACCAATGGACCAAGAGGTAAGGGCTTTTTAGGAATTTATGGGACCCAAAATAAACGCGCTGATTTTTTTTTTTTTTTTCCTTTGCTGCATTTTCACTGGGTTGATGTTTTTAAAAAATCAGAACCTCGAGCTTTGAAAGAGAGGGCACAGAGTTCCCCCGGTGGGAGCCCTCTGTGGCAGCAGAGCAGATTTACCTGTGGGATTGGTTTCCTCTAACCGGACCTTGGTTTGTTTTTCCCCCTCCCCGCTCAGTCCCGAGCGTTCCTGTCGAGCTACTACCGGGATCACAACGTGGAGCTGTCCAAGCTGCTGCACAGGCTGGGCCAGCCGCTGCCCTCCTGGCTGCGGCAGGAGCTGCAGAAGGTCAGGTAGCACCGGGGGCACCCGGCCAGGCGCATTCCCCCCCGCTCCTCCGGCTCACTCGGCATCGTCAGCACAGGACCTCACGGACCCCGCTCTTCCCAGCGAAACCAGACAAAGAGGATAAATAAAGAAGCCCCAACCCCAAAGCCGACAGCTGTGGGTGCGCTGGTGCTGCCCGCGGAGCTCCCAGGAAAGCGCCCCCGGCACCCCCCGCATCCCGAACGGGGCCGCGCCGAGCCGCGTCCCGCCCTCCGCCGGGAAACTCTGCGCAGGACGGACGGACCCCGGACCGACAAATTGCAGTCTGGCAGGACACGGGCAAAGGATGGGAACATCTCTCGCTGGACTGGGAGGTTGGTCATGCGCTGGGATTGTCCCACTTTTGTTTTCAAATCCTTTCCAATTCCATGCAGCAGTGCGCTGCTAATAGCCCAATCCTGACAGCTTGGTTTCTGTCTGCAAAGCAGCGCTGCGGTGGTCATTTAGGGTCCCAGTCTGCAAACTGGTGCAGAAAAATAACTTTAATCACCTTTCAAAATGTTCTGGACACAAAACAGTCTGCTGAAGCACAAACTCTTCCTCTAGACTTTTATAGAGGTGAAAGGACAAACACAGTTATTGTATATCACATATACATGTATAACATACATATCTTTATTCCTGAATATCTACCTAGTGTATCTCTAGATCAGATACACTCAGTTTTAAATATCTCCTTTTTTGTGCCCACAAAGAAATGAAAGGGTGGTTTACCAAAAATAGGACACGAACTGTGCTTGGTTCTCAGAGCTGTGGGGGCAAAGTCAGCAAGGCTGAGCAGAAACTCCTTACTTGTCCTGTATGGAGGTCATCCCTCAGGTCTGGAAGTGGTGAGCACATGTATTTGTGTTTGTAACCTACAGACTCACACTCCCTTATCTTAGAGCACTGGCAACACCACAGATGACTGGAGTAATGAGAGCTTTGGATAAGTAAGGCTTGGTCAGACAAGAGTATCTAAATGGAGCATTTGATAGAATTATAGCTGTTAAAATGCATTAAAATTGGCTCAGCTTTAATTAAAAGAGGACTGCCTAACTCTTGATTGAAAGCTGAATAAACATGGCATTGGTTTCAGCAGCTTTTCAAGGAGATGAGACAAACACTAGAGAATCCTGAAAATTGTTTCTTATTCTTAGCTTTTTATTTAGAAAGAGGTTTGTGTTTCCAACTCTCAGCTCTGTAATGGCACCAAGTCCTGAATATCCACTGGATATTTTCATACCTCACTGTTATTTTTTAAGTCTGAATGGGCCTCACATTTCCGAGAGATCTCGTGTTCCATTGAGAACTGACATTTGAATTGATTTTTTATGTGTCACAAAGATGAAATAACAGTATTTCCAAGTTTCATTCCCTTCACTTGTAACAGGACCCATCAGCACAGAATTTCTCTGGACCACCGTGTGACAGAGGAGCCTTTGTGAACTGTCTGGAAATGATCTCCTTTGCTTTTTATGCCTTTTTCTGTCACTGACCACATCATTGTTGGGATTCTTACAGACCAGCAAAACAAAGGCAGCAAAAATGAAACAATTATTGATGGCAAGAGGGCTGTGGCTGGGAAAGATTGTGCTGGTCCTTCTTTGCTGTTTGTAAGCCAAGGGATTCCCATCCTGCAGGGGGGCTGCAACTGCAGTTTGCTGCCATTCCCCTGGAAATGAGGATTCCAGGATGTGACCCTGTGGGCCAGGCATGGGAGTCAGAGCTTGGCAGCAGAGGTGATGATGAAAGCAGGGCTTTGGCCCTGGGAAAGCTGAGCTCGTATAATTGAGGCTGTCTTTGAGCAAGAGGCAATCAGAACAGAACCCAAACCCCTCTAAATTATGCATTGACCTCTCAAGGTCTAAAATAAAGTTGCAGGATTAACTGCTCTGAGATGTTGCCTAATAAACCAAATTTCCTCTCTGATAGGGGAGCAGGCTGCCGAGACTCCCCAAAACAAATTAAAATGGCAGAATTAGAAATTCTTGGGGGAGGAAATGGTTGTGTAATGAAAGCACTGATGGGTCCAGGCTCTCTGATGTGATAATAAGGCAGTGGGGATGTGCCCTGAATACAGAATCAAGAGCTGAATGTTTTCTCCTCTTCCTTCCCCCCCCCTCCCCATTTTGAGCCAGGGAGATGGGGGATCTTTCATCCCCTGAACTATTGGGGTGTGGGGTGCTCATTTCCTCTCTGCTGGGCCACCCAAAAGGGAGAAATCAACCACTCACTTAGTTCCTATCAGTAACAAATTATGTTTATCATGGGTTTAAAATTGATGTTTCTAACGGTAATATGAGTGTGTGACATCTGTGTCAAACAGGTACAGCACAGGGACATGAATCAGCAGTGACCACATGGCTGAATCTATTGTACTTAAATAAGTTTCTTTTACATAACTCTGTGTTCATGGGACAGGAATCTCCCCATCAGACAACATTTCTTATATTGTCTTTATTTCTCTTTTTGTGCTTTCAGTTCATCCTTTTAGTGTGACTGCAAAGGTGTGGACCTGCCCATGGACTCGATTCCTCCATCACTCTCCTATCTAGAAAAGCTGCCAAAAAGAAATAAGGAATTGCAAGCAACACAGATTCTGAATTGTTCAGTGCTCCAGTGACTGGATAACTTTTATAAGACTTACTATGATTTCTGCAGTATTTCAGAACAAAGGACATCCTGTTGATAGAGCTGAGGAAAAACTTCACCGTCTTGCCCAAGCTCTTTTTTTTTTAAATTTTTTTTTCCTCTCCTACGTGACGACAGCAAATCCAGTTGAACAAACACTTAGTGTTGAAGCAGAAGGAATTAAAATAAATTTTGATCACTCAAAGTATTTTTGTTGGGGGGGTGAGGGTGATGAGGGAGGTCAAGGGCTGTATTTGCTGGAATTGTTTTAAATAATTGATGTGCACACACCTGATGGTCGGTTCTTCTCACTGCCGCAGAATAAACACTTCTGATGGTGCATTACAGAGAGAGCTTTGCTTCTTTCCTTAAACCCTCCTTCCCATTTCCTGAGCCAAAATCTGCACTGCAACAGCCTCTGCCATGGATTTCAAACCGTGCACCTTCCCAACTCCTCCTGCCTCAGTGTCTCCCCAGGGCTTCCACCTGCCCTCAGCACAGCAGCCCCAAAACCATGGGATTTCCAAGTAAGCTCTTGCCCTAATTAAAAATAATTTCCTTCTGCTCTGTTTGAGGAATCTTAGAAGGCCCTGATTCTAGCTATTGCAAATTTCTCAAACTGCGCACTCAGAAGTATGAGACAGCTGTTTTCCCTCTGCAGAATCTCATAATGCTTCTATTTTTTATTATAAAATATTCATTTGTTTTACTGATCTGTGTCAGAATGAGGTTAAATCACATTAGAATCGAGGATTCTTTCTACAAACCCCTCAGAATAGCAAATTCCACTTCCTGAGCACTTCTATCATCGAGCAAAGTAGAAATGACATTACAGATATCTCACCACAAGTTTTACCTTTTTTTCACAGGTCTGCCTGGTGCTTGTAGACAAATTTTCAAAGGTAGCTAAATTTTCCAAGTATTTTAGGAGTCTAAGTCTGTTTTAGAAAAACCAAAAAAAGCCCAAACTTGTAGGCCCCTATACTTGTAGGCCCTAAAAATCTGCTGGCTTTCTATCAGGCTTTCCAGGCCCAGACAAATTTCCTACCTCAATCTTATTTAATAAAACAATAGCAGAATTCTTCCAAAAGTTTACTACTTCCACAAAATTCATTACTCAGACTGTTCCCTCCTGGAACGTGGAAACCTGAAAGCACCAAACAAACTTGTGAGGTGATCTGTTTGTGTAAAGAGCTTTTCCTGTGGAGAGGAGAGGGAGAGGGAGAGGGAGAGGGAGAGGGAGAGGGAGAGGGAGAGGAGAGGGAGAGGGAGAGGGAGAGGGAGAGGGAGAGGGAGAGGAGCTCTTTGTCAGGCCTGTAAATAGCCAAATCCCAGTCAGCAACTGATTTATAGAATGGCAGAAATGAATCCTGCATATAATTTATACTCCTATTTCCGCTCATAAGGAATTAGAGACTTCCTAGGAAGCCAGATTGATATTTGCATTTCAGTCAGCTGCAGCTGCTGGTTGGGGAGAAAAGCATTTAAAACATCTCAATAAACCCATATCTGCCACTTTGGGTTTGCAGAGCTGTTTGTCCTGCTGCAGCTCCCTCTAACCAGACCCAGGCCACTTTTATAGTGCTCCTATTTCTTTGGGAATGGGAATGTGACACGTTAATACACAAATCTGCCTCCATTGCAGAAGGTCAGGGGGGTTTATGGGCTGGTAGTTGGAGTCTTCCTGGGATTTTCTCAGAGGTTATTTTCTGCCAGGGGAAGGTCAGCAGCAGGTGGAGTGGGATTTCTCAATCTAAGTTGCAATTCCAGAAAATACTGTGGGGGCTGAAAAGCGTGGTTTATAATTGGGGAGATAATCGCGTGCCATTCAATTGACTTTGTACTTGCCATTTCTTAGAGTCTGGTGATGTTCTTCTGTCTTGCAAAACTTATCTGTAACACACATCCCCTGTTGGGTAATTTAGCTTCTCTTCAGAGGAGGAGCTGAGCTACAAGGAAAAGCTGGATGTTCAAGGGGATGAGTTTTTACAGGACTTGCTCTGAGGCAGATATTTACAGTTTTTCTTTAACTCTGTGCGTGTGTGTTTCTGTGTGCTTGCCTTGGCTGGGGAATCATCTCCATATTTAATCTGCACACCCTCCAAAGGCACACAATTCCCATCAGCATCAGTGAGAATTAAATATTCTGGTGAAGGAGAGAATAAACCCACCAACAGAAAACGTTATTTAATGACATTGTAGCTGCAGCACATCTTCCTGCAGAGCTTTGTGTAACCACACCAAGTAAGCAAAGAGAAATTGTTCTGCAACGTGAAGCATTTAAAATTTCATAAGCAATCTGATAAAAAAAAAAAAAAAGGTACAAAATCACCTTTTGAGTACCTTTTTATTTTAGGAGAAAGTTTTATGTCTCAGATTTTGGGTTTTTTGTCTTCCTACAAGGAAGTACTGCAGCCTGCTTCCCCTTCGTGCCTTCCTACTCACCCACATTCCTTGGGGCTGCTTCTCATCATCAACATCTATTCATTCACCTGCAAATTTCAATCCCAACTGAATTTCTCCCTTGGCTAATTTCTTCTCCCTGCTTCCAGAGAGGAAAACTGCAGATCTCCCAGGGAAGCATCACCTTCCATTTCCTAGACCATACAGGCTTCAGTTACTTTAAAGTTACCCCAGTTAATTAAGACAATACGTTCTAGGAGTGTGCTGAGGATCTCTTTGATGTAGTTTTCCTGCATCATTCCCACAGTTTTCCCACTGTTCCAATGCAGGGAAGCTCCTTGGTCATAAAGCACAGCAGAGCTGGATGGCACCGCGTGTAAATCTGCCATCATTAGGCTGGGAGCTGCAGTTAAATTATAAATTGTCATCCTAAGTAGGAAGAACATTTTTATGGATCCTGGCTCACCCTCTGCAGACTCTAGCTATTTCCAGTAACTGCCACACAGAACACACTACAATTTGTCAGCTGCTTGGAAAAGGAGACTTGAGCCTAGAGACTTAATTCCTTTCAATCTTCTTACAAGATATGATCCAATACCTTGGGGTGAAAGCTTAGGAGGGTACAGGGAGGCAATCCAAAGCAGCCAGGACAATCAGAACGGACAAGAACCTCAGTACAACACTAAAACTCATTTCTCCAAAGGTCAGATGCACACCCAAGAAGCCTCTTTTATTTCCCTCCACATTAGAGAAGTGGCAGAATAAGAAACGTTTGGAGGCTTGCCTGGATTGCTGTGGGAAGGTGTCGTGTCAGGGTTTTAACACAGACCACGTTGTCACATCCTTTCTAAAGCCCATCTCATGACAAGCAATCTTTTTCCCCCTTCCCACATGGGACAAGCTGAGACACAAAATTCTGACAGACATGTTTTCTATTGGTGGCATCCTGACAGTGTTTTGGCTCTGGTGTGCAAAACAGCTGCAGAACAGAGGATTTTTATTACCACAGGAGCCTGCTCGGCAGCTGAAGGTTTTAGTGTGGATCCTAAATCACCATTCCTGTGGTGCTGCAGATCCTTTTTTCCAAAATAGCTCCATATTTTCATAAACCCCAAGTGCTTTTACTTAAGGCTTGGCATGCTCACGGAACGGAGCCAACCACTAATCAGGCAACGAGGTGAATTGTGCAGGGTGAGCCGATGAACAGAGGCAGGAATCAGGGAAATACTGTAAATCAGGATGTTTGTTTATAGGGAAATCCCAATGGAAGAGAACTGTGAGTCCTCTTGGAAATCTCAGCTGCATTTAGAAAATTTACACAAAGACTTCACTGCTTTTACAGCTCTGACAGTCTGACAACTCCAGCTCTCAGAAATTGTCAGGAAAGCACAGGCTGGGCAATTCCTCACCCTCCCCTCCACAGGCAGGTGCTGACACACCTGCACGTGGACCTGTCCAGGCCGTTTCCAGCCTTTGGAAATGAGAAACTCTTTTTTGCCTCCCTTCACAAAGACCACCCTGGGGAATTAAGCTCTGAGGGAAGTGAAGCACTTAGCAGCAGCCCACTCAGTGTGGGTTTTTTTTCATAAAACATGATTTGACAAAATACTGAGTGCTAAAGTAGAAATATCCCTCGCAGACTTGACTTTGCCATGGACCTATTTAATACTGGCACATTAAACACATTTTTATTTTACACATTGAAGAATATTAATTCTGCAAACTTAACAGTGACACAATGAAGACATTATAAAATTTGGTTATGTGCAATAAAACCACTTTCATAAGTGCCCAGCCACAAGGACATCCATTTTCTGGTTTCCTTCCAGCATTAAGCTTTGCACTCTTGCACCTTCAATTACAGAGCTTAGTGCCCATTTAAAATTACTCTATTTTGCCCACAGATAATTCCCTTTCATTTTGGCTGCCTTTTCCATTTGCCACCTGTTGAGTAATGGCCTCAATAATTTATTCCTTTGCAGCTTTGTTGTTTTTCCAGTGGAAGAGCTGAATTGTGGGGCAGGCACCCACCCTCCTGTGTAATAAAGGGGCAGAGGAAAACTCTGCAGCTTCTAGTGTCAGGATTACAGAGGGCTTTGCCATAAAGCAGGGGCTGGGCACTACAGGGAAGTGTCTGCTGGCACCTGAAGAGAAAGCTTGGAGATCCAGCTTGCTGCACTGCTGAGAACCATCACTGCACTCAGAAATGTGGGGATGGAGAGGAGACTGTAAAGCCAGGGAGAAATCATTCAAAGCAGGGAATAGGAAATGAGTAACACATCCCTGAAGGAGAAAGCACTTGTTTGGAGGCAGAACTTTGCCTATGGAAAAGAAAGTCGGGGTTTCTAGCAAACCAGCCAACCACCTCAGGAAAAACAAACCCATGAGATGCTTTTTAGGGTCCCTTCCAAGCCAAACCCATCCCTGATCCTATGAATTGCCATGCAGAATCCAGATGACCCACCTGACACCTGTGGCCTTTCCCAAATGAAGAAGCATATTCCAGTGTCACCTCACAGCACACAGATTTCATGAACTCTGCCAGAGGGTTAAACTTGTGTCTAATTTAAGAGGTGACTGCAATGTATTATTTTAGCAAGTGAGAGTAGGAGAAAATTGGCAGTGGCGCAAAGAGTGAGTCCTCATCCAAGGGAATTCAGTGGCACAGGGATTGGACATCCTACCTCAAGAGGTGTTTCTGCAGTGCTTGGACCACAGGAGCAACTACCAGGTTTAAATACTCTGTGGTGCTAAATGCTGGAGGAGTGCTGGAGGTGCTTTCAGACACGAGCCAGCTGCTGGAAGCCAAACCTGCCTGGCACGGCTTCATCAGGAATTCCCACCGCTGTGGGAGCTCCTGGGGTCCACCACAGCATCACCCACAGACAGGGACAACCCTGGAGGTGCTGACCCACCTGACAGCTCACAGAGGGGATTTT